GGGAAGAGGTAACTATGGGGAGGAAGTGGGAGGGGAGCTGTTGCATTGTGGTAAACTGTGGTCAATGACATGAGACAAAGTATACGTGAACTGCTGTATGGAAAGTGAATTTGCTCTGTAAATCTTCACCCAAATAAAAATTAATTAATTAATTAATTTAAAAAAAATTGGTAACCTTGGAAACCTTGTGGGGCAACTCTGTCCTGACATGTTGCTATGAGTCAGAATCAACTCAGTGACAGTGGGTTTGGTTTGTTTGGTAATGGTGTTTGTGTCCACTGTCACAGAGTGTTTTTTCTTCTTTAAATATGCCAAAACCAAACTCACTGCCATAAGTCGATTTTGACTCATAGCAACATGTTAGGACAGAGTAGAACTGCCCCACAAGGTTTCCAAGGCCGTGAATCTTTATGGAAGCAAACTGCCACATTTTTCTCCAGTGGAGCAACTAACTTTTGGTTAGCAGTCAAATGCTTTAGCCACTATGCAACTAGAGCTCCTTCTTTTTTAAATGAATTACATAAAATATGTATTAAATGTATGCATATTTTTTTCATTCTTTGGTTAGACCAGTATTTTTCTATTAGGTGGATAAGATCAATATTTTCTTATTTTGAAGTCCATCTCAAGGGGAAAATATAGAAAAACAAATGTATTTATAACATTTTTGTTTTAATTTTACAGAATAAATTTTGGAAATGGTATATGGGTAAGTGATTTTCTTTCATTTCTTTTTTAAGTATTATTTCTGATTCTTTTTCCTTGAGATGAGGTAAGGGAGTCAGCTTACAAACTCTTAAGTGCATTTAAAACTTTTCAAACCTTGATGGCTATTGGAACTACAGACATAACCTCAAAGACACTGAAATTAGTTCTTCCTGAGTACATGAATCAGAAAGATCCCACTTTTTTAAAGGGTCCTCAAGTATATACTTACAAGTCATTTAAGACAATGATTTTCAAAATATGCTCATCAAATCTTATAAGCTCCATTGAGCCCTTGGGACTGCTTTAGGAGAGGAGTAATAAAGGTCCTCCTCACTTCACCCAAAGCAATTCCTTTTATCTGCATTGCCTCTTGGATTTTCTGGTAAGATTTAATTTGAAGAAAGAGTTCAGAAATTTCTTTAAACTTTTGAAAAGCAATGGCCCTACTCTAGATTACTTTGGCTTGAGGAATGCTTGAACATTTCTACAGTAAGAACTTTTGGTGAATGGTAGAGTATGGTGAGGAGTCCTGGCTAACATAAATGGTTAAGCCCTTGACTACTATACGAAAGGTTCATGGTTCAAACCTACACAGAGACTTCTCAGGAGACAGGCCTGGCAATACGTTTCTGAAAGGTCACAGCCTTGAAAACCCTATGGAGCAGTTCTACTCTGTACCCATGGGTCGTCAGGAGCCAGAATTAATTGGACAGAAAACTAACAAGAGTGCAGTGACAAAGAGCGGAGAATACACAGAGGTGCATGAGGTGGAAGTGGACCAAAGCAAATCTCTGCCTTGAAATTAGTAACACAATAGTTTAAGTAATTATTAAACAGTGTTACTTTAGTGAAGAAGAAAGTAAAATTGAAGAAGGAAAGAAAAGGTTAAGAAAGAGGCTTTGTGGGGAGCAACATCTGCTAATGAAGGACACTGAGGGTTCATGCTCCCAGACACTCAGAAAATATCATCCAGCCAGACCAGGAGAGCACCTCCTGAACCATGAACTATGCCCCCAGCTTCATGTGGGCTAGACACTTCAGTCACCTGGAGCCCTGCAACCACGGGTGCATGGTCTGCTGGATCAGGGGATGAATTAGGGGTCTATTTATTGGCAGTGGTAAAAATTATTATTGAGAGGCTTAAAGACCGTATATCTTTACAGAAGCAGACTGCCTGCCTCATCATCCGCCATAAGGTTTTCATCTCCCACATGTTGCTTTTCTGATAGGTGGCACCCAGTGCATCTCCCAGCCCTGCCTGAACAATGCAACGTGCCATGACAACATCCGCAGTTACACCTGCAACTGCTCCTATGGCTATGAAGGGAGGAACTGTGCCTACGGTGAGGCCCTGTGTAGGCATGCTGCCCAAAACCCTGCCGGCAAACTTTGCTTTAGGCCACAGTTTTCATGGTTCAAATGAACCTTATACTCTTTTTCAATCAAGGCTGGTTGAAATCATTCTCTTGGTGGTTTAAGAGCAAGTCCCAGAGTAAGCCATGTGAACTGTGTTTGATCTTACCCCAGGTGAAAAATCTCTTGTCACAGATTCTCCGCTGAAAAAACACTCACATGTGATAGCTGCCACTCTTGAACTGTCGCTTATTTTGCTAAACACTGGCTCTTTTTTCTCTGCCACCTAAATCCATTCACACCAAATCTTTTATAATCTTATCATGTGAATTCCTAGAATACTTTATCATAAACTGGAGATACAGCATCTGAAGAGTAAACTTTTAAGGTTTAGAATTTTAGTTGTGAACTTTAATTAGCTGGCTGGTCTCACCCTTTAATACAACTCTGACACTAGATGGTAGACTTTCAGGTAACTTTTGCTTTCTAATTGGTTCTATATTTACTGATATGGAAGGATATCCTCAATGGGTTGTGGAATGTATTTCCAAAAAAAATAGAAACAACCAAATTCACTGTGGTCAAGTCAGTTCTGACTCATAGTGACCCTACCTTGGGTTTCCGGGCAGTATCTCTATGGAAATAAGTTGCCCAGGCTTCCTTCCAAGAAGTGGCTGATGGGTTTGATCCGCCACCCTTCTGGTTAGCAGTCAAATGCCTTAGGCCCTATACCACCAGAGCTCCTAGCAGGATACAAAATATAAGATGCAGATGATGTTCACACTATAGTTTATGAATTTATGAGTTTATGTTTTGGTTAATTTTGTAAAAGTTTTCCTCCAGACTACGTACTAAATATTTGTTAGCAAAGAAAAACAAAGTAGAAATGTAACTTTTCCTGCCTGGTATTATTAATATTTCAAAATTTTTATGGAAAAAAAAAGATTCCAATCTACTGGTGAAAAAATGATCTGGCTATAGAAAAGAACATTCCAAAATTTTTTTGTCATAAATAAATTTTTCATTGCTCAAATTCTACAGAGTAATCCTCACTATTCAACATTAATTTAGTTGATGAACATTTACTGAATAGTTTGTTCTGGGTGTGTAAGTATACATTCAATGATAAATAAGATTCTTTACCTCAACAAATTTACAAATTTGTAATTCCTTAACTTAGGCTTACTCATTTAAATGGTCAAACTTTAATTTGACCATTTAAATGTCAATCTTTCAAAAAGAGACTGAAAACTTTCTCACTTCTTTAAAGTGGATATATCATTTAGCCTTTTCCTCATACTTAGGGGCCCTCACGAGAATATTTTGTTAGGTGTCGTTGAGTCGTCTCCGACTCATAGTGACCTCATGGACAGCAGAATGAAACACCACCCAGTCCTGTGCCAGCCCCACAATCCTTGCTACACCTGAGCCCATAATTGCAGCCACTGTGTCAATCCATGTCATTGAGAGCCTACCCCTTTCACATTGTCCCTCCACTTTACCAAGCATGACATCCTTCTCCAGGGAATGGTCCCTGCTTACAACATGACCAAAGCAGATGAGACAGAGTCTGGCGATTTTTGATTCTAAGGAGCATTCCAGCTGCACTTCTTCCAGGACAGATTTGTTAGTTCTTTTAGCAGTTCATGGTACTTGCAACGTTCTTTGCCAACACCACAATTCAAAAGCATCAGCTCTTCTTCAGTCTTCCTTTCTTATTGTCCAGCTCTCACATGCATATGAGGCAATGGAAAATACCATGGCTTGTGTCAAGCGCACCTTAGTCTTCAAGGAAACATCTTTGCTCTTCAGCATGTGAAAGAGGTCCTTTGCAGCAGATTTGCCCAGTGCTATATGATGTCTGATATCTTGACTGATGTTTCCATTGGTGTTGATTGTAGAAGCAAGTAATATGAAGTCTTTTGACAACTTCAATCTTTTCTCCATTTATCATGATGCAGCTTATTGATCCTATTGTGAGGATTTTTGTTTGCTTTATACTGAGGTGTAATCCATATTGTATACTATAGTCCTTAATCTTCATCAGTAAGTGTTTCAAGTCATCCTCACTTTCAGCAAGCAAAGTTGTGTTGTCTGCATAACATAAGTTGTTAATGAGTCTTCCTCCAATCCTGATGACACATTCTTCTTCATATAGTCCATCTTCTTGGATTATTTGTTCAGCATACGGATTGAGTAAGTATGGTGAAAGGATACAACCCTGATGCACTCCCTTCCTAATTTTAAATCATGCAGTGTCTCCTTGTTCTGTTCAAATGACAGCCTCCTGGTCTATGTACAAGTTCCTCATGACCACAATTAAGTGTTCTGGAATTCCCATTCTTCTCAATGTTATCCATAATTTGTTATGATCCACACAATCAAATGTTTTTGCATAGTCAACAAAACACAAGTAAACATCTTTCTGGTAT